TAAAACGAATAAATGCTAAATCATAAGGATATCTATATTATTATTTTATTTTTAGTGCGTTTGAAATCTATCTATCTATCTATCTATTACATTTAGTTTTAGCAGTTTAGTTTTACTTAACTATCATAACCTTAGTAACCACTGATTTTCTTTTTAATGATAAAGCGCTGCCAGGTTTCCCTGGTAGACCTGATGATGGAGATGGAGTTTCCAGTACGCCTGCGGTTCCGGGTCCAGGTGGTTCCGATGTTGCGTCCCGCCTGCGGTGCTGGGTCCCGCCGGCGGAGGGCACACCGCCCCGGCCGCGTGTCCTGTGCGAGGCGGAAGGAGCGGCGCGCAGTGCGGCAGCAGCGTCTGGAGGCTCGGCGTGTGCGCGCTGGTTGAACGCGGAGGGAGCAGTAGGTGATGCGCAGCCACGGAGCCGGAAAGCAGACTGTTCATCAGCGAGAACCTTCTTGTGTGTGTGGAGGGGAGCTGCCCGCGGTGAGCAGGTAATAATCCGAGCTCTGTGCTCGTTAAAGGCGGCGCAAAGAGACTCTCAATGGCTTCATTCACTCTGCGTTAGCCAACCAGTCAGCCAGCTAGCCTCCGCGCTAATGAAGCTAATGCGGCTAGCGGCGTATAGCAGCATTTACACGCTTTCTTTATTTCTGCCGGTGAGTTAAAGCACAGATTAGTGTCCACACAGGGAAGACTCAGTTAAACACCAAAGCAGCCCGTAAAAAAAGAGCCCGCCTGAGGCTAACTTGACCTTAAGCCTCACCTATCGCGGCCAGGTGAGCCTCCCTTTCGTATCACTTCCTGAATTCTTGAGTACTGGAGATAGGTGATTTACATAGCAGGTGACTGAGTTGCACAATGCTTTTGAATGTATGTCAGTACAACACCCAGAAACCCTTCAGGTTTTACCGAGAGTCACTCGGATGTGCGTGAATGGGAGCAGACTGTAGGTAGAAAGGACAGCAGGTAGATGGATTCCTCCAACTCCTCAGGTGATGCTTTTCCAGGGTGTAGAGTGGACTGTGGTCATGGTAGGTTCCTGCTGGGGTGCTGACGTTAAACACTGGTCTTTATGGGTCTCTCACTCCAGCCTGTGGTCTGTTCTTCTGCTGTCAGGTGTTTGGGTTGGACAGAACTGCACCTTACTGGGTCAGCACCTGCACTGTCAGCTGGTAAATGTGACAGACCGCATCAACACATCCAGCCTCACTATGGCTCAAGACAGGGGCAAATATGACTTCTACATTGGCTTGGCGCTGGCCGTCAGCTCCAGCATCTTCATCGGAGGCAGTTTTATCCTGAAGAAGAAAGGACTTCTGAGGTTGGCGAGGAAGGGGTCCACACGGGCAGGTAGGGGGGCTTTTTTTCTGAGCATCGATACAGGTCACCCCAAACCTTGAGGGGACCCAGACTTCAGCCTTCTTTTTCTGTTTGTTTGCTTGTCTGTTCCCCCTGTCTGTCTGTTCCCCTCTCACAGGCACTCCCTGTGAGGGATGTTTCCACACATGCTTATCCATTGTGATATTTCAGGCTTGTCAGGTTCTCCTCACCTGTGCAGGGTGTGTTTAAGTGTGTGTCTGCATGTTGTTTGTGTGCATGAGTCATGAACACTCTTAAATCCTAGCAATCATTAACTCCAGCGCTCTGCTCGACCTTCAGTTCACGTCCATCGCCTGACTTGCAGTCAAAGCGAGCAGTTGCATAATTCAGGTTTTTCTTACATGCAAGTGACATTGAAATGAGGAATCACGTGGAAATGAAAACTTTTCTTTTGCTTTTCAGGGCAGGGAGGTCATGCGTATCTGAAAGAGTGGCTGTGGTGGGCAGGTTTACTATCAAGTAAGTGATAACGCTGTGGCTCAAAATGAAATGAGATCATTCAGATGCAGGTGTCGCAGACATTCTCCAGAGTTGGTGCATAACATATTTGCATATGTTGAGGTCACATGTGGTTTCAGGAGCTGGTATTTGTCTTTGTGGATGCACCACCTGGGCTCATGCTGATTGCTGATGCTGTTTAAAGGAGACCTGCTGCTGTTGTTATTTTGTCACATTCAGGACTTCTTTTGCGTCTCCTTCACTTTTGTTATCATTACATAAAAGCTCAGAATTGGTCTTTGGCAGAGTGAACTGAAGAAAACCTGCCCAGATTTCTTTCTTGTTTATTTAATTCTTTTCTCTTGAATTACAATTCAAATTCAAGGAAGAACACAGTTTTTTAAGTTCTCCAAGGACTGATTAACCATGTTAAGTAATCACGATCTCAGTCTTACACTTGAGTTCAAAGCAAACCTTGTTTTTTCTCTCTCTTGTCATCCTTTTCCAGTGGTGGATGTTCATATTAAACATGTCCAAAGTTTCTAATGATGAGCTTAGTGTATTTACAATAATCCTTCAAAGCTCAGACTGCTCCAAACACTGAGTTTATCACAGATTTGTTTCCTACTCTGGGATCAGAAAGTATCCTTAAAGGGGCTGAAACGGCTTATTTCAGGCAGTCGATGAAGTCTGACTACACAAGTGAGATAAATTAGGATTATTTTGAACTGTGAATCATGCAGGGCTACTCTAGGAGAGTCCAAAAATAAAAACAAGGACCTGGGAATGAACGAAAGTGTTTGGTAATAACAAATGAGCTAAATGTAATCTCATTGTTGAATCAGATGGTATATTGGTGCATGTATTTCATTATTACAGATGTAATAATCCAGCTTCATCTCGCTAGCTTTAAGATATTTTGTCACTGTCCCATTGTCAAACCCTTTCTTTCTCTACTACCTGTTGCGAAATGCCCTAAACCTCAGATAGTATTACAGTGTTTGCATGTCTCTGTCACAGGACAGTTCTACTTTCTTTCATGTGTGGAAATAACTGTTAACCTTTTGCAGTGGGGGCTGGGGAAGCGGCCAACTTCGCCGCGTACGCCTTTGCTCCTGCGACGCTTGTCACACCGCTGGGAGCCCTGAGCGTGCTCGTCAGGTACTGATGAGTGCATGTGTCTCATCCACCTCGATGTTTTGATTGTGTAAGAGTGTGTGTGACCTGAAATGATTTTTTTATTTATTTTTTTGTCGCAGCGCTGTGCTGTCATCATACTTCCTGACGGAACGGTTAAACCTGCACGGGAAGCTTGGCTGTCTGCTCAGCATCCTGGGCTCCACCACCATGGTCATTCACGCGCCGAAGGAAGAGGAGATCAGCAGCCTCGAGGAGATGGCGGCCAAGCTGGTTGACCCAGGTACAGAAAAAAATTCTTCTCTGTAGATCGTGTCTACAGATATTTCCTCCAAATATTCATCTTTGCTGCACAAAACATGATCATGCCTTACATACAAAAGGTCTCAGGTTCGATTCCTGAAGGCAGCACAAACCCAGCTTCAGGGGATCACAAGCCACTATACTCCCAACACCGGTCCCGGGCGCTAACACAGATCTGCAGATTTTCACTGATACAATACAATGTGCAAAAAAAAAAAGGCAAGTTGATCTTTCAGGAAACTTGTTATCCTATTTTGCATCATTCTTCGGTTTCACTGAGGAAACCGGCTCAAGGCAATCAGGTGGAAGAAATGTTCAGTTTCTTTGTTTACCAGCAGCAGGTTTTAGTGAACCACACCCTCTGAACAACTAAAGCATGTATTTTTTACTTTTGTGAAAGCGCATTCAGCAGATGCTATATTTGGAATATTTTAACTTCCATCAGACAGGAAATGGAAGCTGGAATTTACCTGCGATAACTCAGGAATTGTTTGAGTCACTTTCTTTTGTTGTAACACAAAGTTCACATCTGAAGCAAAAAAGTATTTAGTATCCACTGTTAGTTTCATTGTTAGCTTTACTCTTTCTGATTATTTGAATGTGGAGAATATTTGGTCAGGAGCAAGATCCAATCTTTATAATGCAAATCTAACACTTCCTGACTTAAGAGTCATGTGAGAATAACAGGTCATGGAAAAACTTTACATTATTGTTTCAGTTATTTTAATCTCTTTATTTCAGCTGGTTAAGATGTTTCTTTCCGCGAGTAGTTTTAGTTATCTAATACTCTCATATGAACAAATGTGTTAATATGCGAAATATGAGGGAAATAAATCTGTTTCTGTGGTTTTGAAAAGCTAAACTGTGTCATTCTGCTTCAGTTGATTAGTTTTAGCTCAAAGCTGATGTGAAAAAAACCTCACAAAACAGACTCCTGCTTTCTGAAAGTAAAAAAAGAGATTTGTGTGTCACACGTTAAAGTTTGAAGGGCTACATTAATTTTAAACTGTTAAACGTTTGTATGTTCTTCCTGTGTGTGCGTGGGTTCACTCTGGGTAGTTGGTGGGGTTGGGTTAATGATTCTAAATTGCCCATATGTGTGAATGTGAGTGTAAATTGTTGTCTCTCCATTAGTCCAGTGACAGAGTGGCAACCTGGCCTAGGTGTGCACATTATGGCAGCTGGGATCAACCCCAGCCCCCAGCAACCCGGAATTAGATAAGATTGGATTTAATGAAGTGAAGGATGCTGAGAATAGTGATGGTTTGCAGATGCTTATTTTCTTGAAATGCTCCCCGTCCCACTTCTTCTCTTTTTCTTTCTCAGGGTTCCTTGTCTTTGCCACCCTCGTCATCATCGTTGCACTCATCTTCATATTTGTTGTGGGCCCCCGCCACGGCCAGACCAACATCCTAGTCTACATCACCATCTGCTCGGTAATCGGAGCACTCTCTGTGTCCTGTGTGAAAGGACTGGGCATCGCCATCAAGGAAGCGATCGCCGGGACGAGCGTGGTGAAAAACCCGCTGGCGTGGATCCTGCTCCTGGGTCTAGTGGGCTGTGTGAGCACGCAGATCAACTACCTGAACAAAGCTCTGGACATTTTCAACACCTCCCTGGTAACGCCAATCTACTACGTGTTCTTCACCACGTCCGTGCTCACCTGCTCCGCCATCCTCTTCAAAGAGTGGGAGCACATGGGAGCGGACGATGTCATCGGCACACTCAGTGGCTTCCTCACAATCATCGTGGGCATCTTCCTGCTCCACGCCTTTAAAGACGTTAGCGTGAGCCTGGCCACGCTCGCGGTGTCCATGAGGAAGGAAGAACGAGCGTTTCCCACAGCCAACGGCATAGCATCTCACACCGCCTATGAACTGCTGGACGAGAAGTCGACCGGAGAGTTGGAGGAGCGAGACTTGGAGGAGCGAGACATGGCTTCGCATTTCGATAGCGTCTCCAGAAGGAATGGCATGATGACGTCCTTGCTTGATCACTAAGGACCTCTCTATTCCAGAAGACTCGGCCGCGGCTCTGATGTAGACGTGGAGCGCGAGAATGAGACAATCAGCGATCCGGGGCGTGAACAGACCAGTGGATTGTAGTTAATGTTTTAATTTGCCTTACTTTTCTTGGAATATGGCTCATATTCATCTCTAGTTAAACTTAATTTCATTCCTGTGTAGCGCTGTAAATAAGTTTTATAAAAAGGTTTTATGGACATGCACCTTCATGCACTGACTTCCTTTCTATGAATCAGATGAAGTTTTAATATATATATAAATATATATATACTTTATGAAGTCCTGCTGACAATGACTACATTTGACTTGTCGTCATACTTGAAGGTAACGGCAGTTAATGTTGGGAGTTCTGAACTTTTCCTTTGCAGTTTTTACATTAAAAGCTCGACACAAACCAACATTTGTTACATATTTATTGAATTAAATGATTAAAACATAAGGCACAGTGAATAAATGCTGAACATGAGCATAAGCTCTGTTACTTCAGTTCCACTTAAAATGTTTAGCATGCAAGTTGAACAGTGTAGAAAATATAAATTTACCATCACCCACACTTAAAATAGATTAATGCTCACCCTCAAACACCCGCCACCGCAAACCCTTAAATACGTCAGATAAAAACTACTTCCTCTCTCTGATCTACTTCTGTCTGCAAGTATAAAACAAAGAATATCCAAAAAGGGGAAATATTCTTTTCTGATAAGGCACAAATGAATACAAAAAAAGAAAAAGTGGCCCAACTTCTGACACGTGATGGTCCTCAAACCCAAAGGGCGATATTCGTGGTGATGCGGACAGTGTTTGAAACTTCACGCTGGTCCACAGTGTCGACGGCCGCCTCAGCTGCTGGCGAGCGACTGGTGTATCGGAGGCTGGAAGCATCGCACGTGCTCGACCGGCATGTTCTCGCCGTCGCCAGACTTCATGTACTTGTTCAGGATGGCGAAGATCTCGTTGTTGAGGACTTGGAATCTGCGGATTCTGTCCACCATCTTCTTTAGAGGCTGAATGGGAGACAAACACGGGAATGAGCTCAGAACAGGTCCCACTTAATCACATTGCTGCTTTTATGTCAGATCCTATTTCACTGGTGAATGTTTATTTTAAACGTGGCCACAGTTTCTAATAGCGCATAAAGCCAACAGCTCAGACTGTGCTAAACGCTCAGTGTTACACAGTTTTTCCAACTCTCCATTCTGAGGTCACAGAGAGAGCAAGGTGTATTTATAGTAGGTCAGCCCTGAAGTTGACGACAATAATTCCCAACAGGATTTTTCTTAACCCCCCCTATGGGCTTTTGGATCGTCACAGGAAACAGTTTGTGATACGTTTTAGCCAGATAGCTTTTCTCTGCAGTTTCTCAAGAGTATTTGCATCAGTTGCATAAAAAAAAAAAAAAAAACTGAACTTCAGACATAAACATTGGAGTCGTGGTGGCCATCAATGCCTCTGAGCTTGTGCATTTGGTGGGTTGGCGTTTGCCTGACATCTTCTGCAGTCTCATTTAGTGGCTTGTTGTAGAACATGAGGATTTTCTGAATGAGCAACTTCTAAGCAAGGAAAAAATGCCAACTCTTTCTTGGGCTTTAGGATTTATTTTTGTGGAACTACTTGTAGTTACCGCAGACGTGGGGAAGCCCCGCTGACCTGCTGTTTAAACCTTCTGTTTATCTGGGACAGCCAATTAGAAAAAGCTCCCATAAAGGGGGAGGAGCTATAAGAGCCTGTTTGATATTTGCTGTTTCCAAATGATCCAAATGGCAGTGGAAGAACAGAAAATTGTTTGCAATTGTGTATAAAACAGCTTATTATGAACTTTAGCAGTGTTTCAGTTAAATCTGAGGATCCAGCTGGGAGATGTGAGCTGAGCACCAAGAAAACGGGACAGTTAGCCAGGCTCATTTCAAGGTTAAATCCAGCTCCCGGCAGTTCTAAAACTAACTCATCTGCTTAATCCACACAAACGCTGAAGAGTGTAACATCGCGGAGGGTTACCTGCAGCGACTATCTGACGACTTCAGAACCTCATTCTGTGTTTTTATGTGCAGCCACGCTGATTAGCTTTTTCCCCCCCATGTACTCAGTGAAACTTGTGGGTTTGGTTCTCAGTGACCTACTTATCTGCCCATGAATGCATCACAATGTTGCTGGGTCAGTGTTGCCAACGCACAATACTCAACAAAGAGTTCATCAACAATCACGGAAAACAAAACACAACAAAAATTCCTGAGAGGCAGGTAAGCTCCTAGCAAACAGAACCATCACGCCCATTTCTCTTTCATCGTGCTACACTTCACTCATTCAGTGGGTCACGCTGAAGCCTTTTGTGCTCTTTGCTACATTCTGAGGGGATACATTCAGTAACAGATTTCAACATAAATTATTCAAGTATTTTTTTTTGACAGAAATCAGAGTTCTGATTTCAACTTCCCTGCGCTGCCTCCGCAAGGACCAGAGTGCTGCAAAACTGAGGAAAATGAACATCTGAAGCCGCTCCTGTGATCGCCGACACGCTTGTGCTCATGAAGCAGAAGGACGGACGTCTGCAGCTGCACGCTGAGCTGTATTTAGCTTTCTGTTAGCAGTGAAATTAATAATTCATAATTTTGGACTCAAAGCAGAAACACAGCATTAGAAAACAAAAAAAAACAGTTCAGTGTGGTTTTCTCTCAGCAATGTACGAAGTTATTTTAACTGTTGTAATCTTACACCTGAGACGGATCTTGTTTAGTGACTTTAAACGCTGCGACGTTATTGGCTGCTACACGACAAACTGTGGTGGAGGATCTGAAACTCACCAAGCTCATCTTTCATACTTCATTACCAGTTCTTACTGTGTTTTTTTACAAAAGATTTATAGAAAAGTATCGCTTATTTACAGAGGTTAAAAAAGGAATACAGCTTTTTAAATCTGAGTCTCATATGATCTGGTGTGACTGAAGCCAGATTACATCATTATCAACACCCTAAAGCCTACAAAACGACAACAAACAGAAGTCATGTGAAATTCCATACGGGTCATAATCTTTATTAACTTTTCACGTCACGTCACGCAGGGCGCCATCAGCAGATTTTATTATCTAATGTTCAGAGTTCAGCCGTGCGTTTAACAGCCTGTTGTTGAGGTTTCATATCATATCAGCAGGTTATGGCATGAAGCAGAAAAGTCAATCACATTTTCTTGATGTGTGTCAAAAATAATAGTTAAAAATGGATAAAAAAATCTAACTGAATTGCAGGTCTTTACTTCTATTCTTGGTACATTTGCTATTTGAGATGGTGTGCTCATTATTTTGGATGCAGTAACTGGTGGAGATGCTCGGGGTCACGGGGACGTCAGGCGAGGGATGATGTGTTACCTTATGTATGCTGTATTTAACAGCCGTGCTCATGTCTTTCAAACTCACCACGCTCTTGATGATCTCATCCTTCCCGTCGTGCTTCTGCACCTTGAGGAGGTGGTAGCTGAAGTCGAGGATGTCAAAGCGTCTCTGCTGTCCCAGCAGGGCGATGATCATGCAGCCCGCCCAGTGGAGGCCGTCTCCAAAGCACTGCCTGGAGGACAGGAAGAGGGTGTGTTAGTAAATATTAGGTGAGAGGAAGTGTGTGCGTGTTTGTGTTCTGCCACACTCACTCCACTGTGAACTCGTGGGCTCCCACAGGAATGCAGTACACAAACTGCATGGCGCTCCAGAGGCGGTGGAACTCCACACACTCGTCCACGTGCATCACGCCGTTGCTGGGCAACGGCCCACGCCACACAGGGTCCTCCAGGAAGCCTCGCACACGTGTGAGGATAACCTCAAACATGGACAGACCGCAACACAGGCGCTCTTTGGTCAATAGGTCGCCCTCACGAGCGATGGCTATTTGCTGAAAGAGAAGTAAAAGCATTCAAAAGATCGTCTACCGGTCAGCATCCTCCATAAGTGTCACATGACACAGGAGCAACTGTAGCTTATCTCTGTCTTAATGGTGTGTTCAGAGTGAAACAAAATAAGTTGGTTTATTGCCTGATGTCATCGTCAGGATAAAGTCCACACGCTGAAACACATTTTTATATATGGCAACAAATTTGTTCATGAAGTCCTCCTGGAGAATTTATTTGAGCTCTGAAGATATTTTAACTCCAGCTCTCAGCTGTACTGAGAAGAAAGTAGTTTCCTCATTGGTTGTTAGAGACAAACATCTGCTGGTTTTGAATTGGCCCTGAAACACTCCAGCATTTGTATTTACATAACTAACCCGAGGCAAAGTGAGCACACCATCCGACGGCTCTTACCTGTGGTGTGCCGAGGCGTTCTATCAGGGGAACCATATGCAGCGCCGTGTATTTGGCCTCCAAGCGCTTCATCTTGGCGTCAAGGCGCTCCCCCTCTACACAGACAGACAAAGAAATGCATGAAGTTCAGGATTGTCAACCAGTGGAAATTTGTGCTTCAGAAAGAGGTTTTTTTTTTAAAATAAAAATAAATAAATAAATAACAGCTTAAAAGAAATAGAAAGACTAAGAAAGGAAAAAAAGTGAAAATGTTCCAGAAACGCAGTCCGACACACAGTTGTTACTTATATAACAAAACAAAAAAAAAAA